TATTATTATTATTATTATTATTATTATTATTTTTCAATTTTTATTTTTAGTTGATTCTCGTTGCTTTTTTCATTGTTTGTAAAAAGCTCATAATTTATAAGAACTCTCATTATTTTTATGGTGGCTGCATAGCAAAAAAAAGTGATTTTTCTTATTCAGCATACACTGAAAAAATGAACTACACAGTATGATGTCATTGTAATTCTTCTTTTCTACTCCACTTTTCATTTTTGGTCGGCAAATTACTGTAGAAACATGAACTGCAACTGATCGCCTCAACAGCATAGTAATAATGGACGGCAAAAAGGTTGGTAATGATGCGAACTTTATGATGACAAGATTTAGATTAATATTTTTCTAAAATTTTTGTAAACTTTTTTTTTAACTTTTTGTTAAACAAGTAATAGGAAACCGATTTGATGTATTGTCAAGGCCGACCGCAGAATTGGGGCGTTTAGATATAATTGTGAAAAATTTATTGAATTTTACCTTATGTTTAAAGTAATCAATGGAACAATTCGCTTTAGAATATGACAAAGTGGTGGAGTAATATAGTACTTGATTTCTTACTACACAAAAATACTGTCAAGAATTTCGCACAGAAATTGGGTTTTGGCAAAATGTCAAGATAACAGTTTACAACTTCACTGTCGGACGCTTTAGGAAATGTTAACGAAGAGCACAGAGTGAACTGCAGTCGAAAATTTGTTCTCGTTGTACGATACAATAGCGCTGAGTAATTCCACAGTCTAAGTTTTGCTGCTGTCATCAAAACTGAGAGTTATTATAAACTACCCTTTTCTAAGAATTTGTTATTGCTTCTTTTTGGCTTTTTATTTAGAAACTATTTTGTCAGAAATTAATTCTTTTGAAGATTTAGTTCTGCTTAAATTTTTTAAATCTTAATGCGAGGACACTTAGAATAGTTTAGCAGCTCCCGAACATTCAGTTATAGTGTTTTGCGTCAAATCAGTACGGCAGTGTTTGTTGGAGGGACGGCAAACAGCATACTAAATGCAGCTACAGCTTAATCAGAAGAAAAAAATGGCAACTTAAAAGCTTTCAAAGATATATTCCATATATCTATAAATCTAGTAATATTGTTTTTAGTAGCATTTATTTGATGGCACTTGAACAAGCAGTTCAATAAGTGAGACATCAAAATATGAACAATACAGACCAACGTACGGACGAGATCAATGCTTTTTTGAAGATTTAAGCTCTTTCAACATTGTCATATTTTTGCTTTTCTGCCAAACTTTAAGAAAGTTTTCTGCTTTAGATAGAACTAAGAACTTTCATTTCTAGTTTATGTGGAAAGAATTTTCAGTAATTTTTTTGATAATTTTATTAATATTTTTATTTTTTCTAAAAATTTTACTCAAACATAAAACGTAAAACAGTGAAAGTCTTATGTTGCACTTCCTTCATCAACAGTTTCTTCGTATTTATATCTTTGATTTAAAAAAGTATATTAAAACACATAAATGAAGAACGTTATAAACATATAGCTGACTATGTATCACCGTAAACGTAAAGATGTTTAAGTCTTTCAATAATTTTTTGTTGATCTACTCGTTGGAGAATGTATGGCGCTGAACCCAGAATTCCAATGGTACCACCAATTGTGACTCCGACAAATACATACAGCAAAAAGCGATCAATCACCATTGCAACACATTTCCAATCTTCTTTTTGCTAAAAAATCGCAAAATAGTACACAATTTTTATAGAGAATTAATGTTAAAACTGGTGCTTCTAATAATTTGGAACTATTTGATCAGCGAAAGCTTCTAAACTGAAGGCTCCAAGCTTGAAATAGTGGAAAGAAAAAAAGAAGAAAACAGAGTAAATAATATTAGTGAATAGATACCATTCGATTTTCCTCACTCTTTTTGATATAATTGGTGATGTATTCAATGGCATCAATTGCTTTCATTGCTTCTTTGCTAAGCGGATAAAAGTTTCTCGTTAACGGATCTCGTACCGCTCTTTGTACGGTATCCGTATGTTTCAAATCACTGGTTTGCTTTTTGCTCCTTAATTATAAACCACTAAGTCTATTC